TTCGACTTGGCTCGTTTAACAAACGACGTTGTTTGGTTTAATTTTTTTAAAAAAAAAACAAAATTTCCGGTTTTTTCCGGTTTTCAGCCGGTCCGGTTCAAACGATTCAGTGGTTCTGGCCGGTTCACTAGTAGCGGTTCAACCGGTTTAGATTGAACCGGACTAGCACACGGTTCTCGGTTGAACAGGTTGAATCGACCAGTCCGGTTCGGTTTTCAAAACAATGATCTTAATTCTTTATCATTTTAAATATGGGAGAAATGAAGAGATGAATCCAAGGATGATTGAGGGTAGTCGTTTCCTCAAAAAAAAAATTAAATTATCATGCATTTTATTTATTTTAATATTTGTATTAATAATCTGTTTAAATTTAAGATGATTCTTCTACATTCGACGAGTTGTAATGAGCATCACTAACGACGACCATCATTAATTTAATTTATGAAAAATTAAATTATAAAGGACTTAACATATAATTATAAATTAGTTAAAAATTTAAAGATAAATTATTTAAAAATAAAGGGTAAACTATACTAGTGACCACCTAACTATTACCCCTTTTCATTTTGACTAATATTTTTTAAATTTTATCAATCAGGTCACTCAACTATTTAAATGCATCCAATTAAGTCACTTGTCGTTAATATTTAATGAAAAAGTTGATATGACAGTTAAAATATTTGGTACAATTACACATTTGGTCATTGTTACTTATGTAATATATCAATTTGGTCCTAATTTTAATAAATTAAAATAAACTTAACCCTCAAATCTTTAATTTTAAAATATTTTAAAAGTTATGACATATAGGCTAAGCACATTTCAATTCTGTGGATTCCATAGTTGAATCTCGGACATCCAACAACACAACATCTAGGGGCAGTAACATCTCCCAGGACAGCAGGTTCTCGGCTTCGAGTGGGGACGAGGCTTTTCAAGATGGGCAAATTTTGCCCACCCCTAACCTAAGGGACTTCAGTTTTGCTGAAATGAAGGCTGCAACTAAGAATTTTAGGCCTGACATGCTGCTTGGTGAGGGAGGCTTTGGTAAAGTTTTCAAAGGCTGGTTCGATGAGAAGGGGGTAGGGAAGAGTGGAAGTGGAACCCCCACTACGATTAAGATACTCAACTCTGAGGGCTGGCAAGGATTTGAGGAATGGCAGGTAATTTCATTAATTCTCGAGTTATCGTCACTTGCATTTTCTTCTTTAATTATTGCCATGGACTTTCTCTCGAGATCAAATGTTCATGCATGTAAAACATCAGCTTCTAAATAGTAATTACCAACAATGCCTCATTAAACAGAATCAGGAAAAAAATGCGGTAGACTTACTATCTACAGAAAATGATGTCTTTAGAGTTCAAAGCTTGTTGTGCAAAGTAAAGAGGACTGGAAAGTGAATAAGTATTTAAGGTTAAACCATACTAAAATGCTTTACATTGCTACTTTTTACAGTTTGCATTCTAGGATAACCACTTTCGTTTATTTTATTTTTTAATTTTAAAAGATTTGAGGGCTGAGTTCATTTTAATTTATTAAATTAGAACCAAATTGATAGAATATATAAGTAAAATTGACCAAATGTGTAATTATACCGAATATTTTAACCGCCACATCAGCTTCTCAGTTAAATTAACGGCAAGTGACTTAATTGAATGTATTTAAATAGTTGAGTGACCTAATTTGTAAAATTTCAAAAATATTAGTCAAAATGAAAAGGGACAATAGTTAGGTGCTCATTAGCATACTTGTTTTAAATAATTTATCTTTTAAATTTATAACTAATTTATAATTATATATTGAGTTCTTTAGAATTTATGTTTTTATAAATTAAATTAACGGTGCTTATCGTTAATGATACTCATCGTTACCCATCGAATACTTTATAATTTTTCTTAAATTTATCACTTTTAAAATTGTAAAAGTTGACACCATTAACATAAAATCTTATGTTTCTCCATACTAATCACTATTTCGAACAAAAAAATTGGGGTCTAAGTCCACCCTAAAAGAAACTAAAGCATCAACTAATGATGGCGATTTCGATGAACTTTTGCCGTGGATTTCACCTTTTTGGTTTCCTTAATGTAAATTCTACCCAAATTATATGCAAGCCATTAGCTTTAATCAATTAAGTAGTAATTAATTATTTCTTACTTCTATTGAATGAAGTTTGGCCACATTAGTTTTGGTTTGTTTTAGTAACTAAACTTTCAATTTTTCAAAATCATATATAATATTTAGTTTTGTTTCATTTAGTACCTCACTGTTAAAAATCTTAACGCGTTTAATACATAAATTATAATTTTTGTCCATTTTAGCACTTAAACTTTCAATTGTTTTCAAAAGTTAACGTAAAATTTTGAACATTGATACTAAAATGAAATAAAAACTAAAATTTAGATATGGTTTTGAAAAAATTAAAAGTTTAGGTACGGATCAAAATTGATAGTTTAGATAATAAACGCATAATTTACCCTAAAGTGAAACACCAATCCAATTATTTCTAATTAAATCAGCCGAATTAAATTAAAATTTATTTGCGTTGTTAATATATTGGACAAGTATGTCGAATTTATTGAAAATAAACTAATGTTGTCAATCTCATATTTCCGTTTTAATCATAAATAGACTAATAGATTCACAAAATATATGTTTTTTCCAACTCAATATATTTGAATCATTTTAATCTAAAATTTTAAGTTATTTGATTTAATTAATAATTTTAAAATTCATATTTATGTATAAATATAATTATGTTATATAATTGAGATATATTTATATATATGATAAATATTTTATTAAAAACTAAAAACTAAAAGCTAAATATAAATATATTTAAAATAACCATGAACATAAAATGATGCGCCAAAGTATATATGTATTTATAATAAAGCTAAGATTAAGATATACAATGTAGATATTCAAGAGTTTTATATCGATTAAGGATGACTGAATGCAGGTAAATTTATAATTGAGACTTTTCATTTTTTTCGTAAAAATCCCGTTGTTTTTAACTTTAATATTAGACCCTTTGATAAGACTGTCTAAAAGCATTATTTAGTTAAAAAGTTCATTTTAACCACAAAATTAATGTTAAATGGGTAAAAAAAATACGGTGAAAACGGTGATTTCAAACTAATCGCAAAAGTAGAATTTTTATCTTTTTCATTCTAACTTTACGTTTAAAAGTAAATTTATATTTTTACTCTTATTAATACATGGGCTCCACTCAAATGTAGTTCCATATTTTATTAATATTCCACATTAGCAATGGCAGATCCATTGAGGTTTGAGGGTGGACACGTGCCCACTTTGAAATCTAAATTTTCTTTGATTAGTAACTTATTTTATTGATGATGTCCACCCTGAAATTTAAATTTTCTTATATATATATATATATATATATATATTTACCCTTAAAATTATTTCTAGAATTGTAACTGCATATATGAATGAAAATTCACATAATCAATCATGCATGACATGAAAGATACAAGTTACATGCCTCGACACAATAGCAACTTCACATATGTGGGAGGATCATCATAAGCCTTCCAATTACACAATTCATGCATTTAAATAATCAAGGCACTCACTTTTGTACTTGCTTACTAATTACCAAAATAAGACTAGAAGAGGCTTAATGTCCAACTTGTTTCTTTCCTCCAAGGTTCCAACCATTCTTCCTTTAGAGCTTGGGAAAATAACACACATGTACAACGCGCATAATGGAATCAATACATAATCAAACGCAAAAACCTTATTTATGCATATACTCAATTTAATGTTCTCTCTAAACCAATGGACTAAAATTTGTCTGTCGTTTCAGTCGCTAAACTTCATAGAGTAAATCATTTGAATTAATTTTTTACTCAATAATTCATATTTGACCCTAACATGGAAATTACCTAATTAGTCCTCAAAATGATTTTATTTATCCAATTAGTCTATGATAAAAATTTTGAGAACAAGACGAAAAAAGAAGATGGTGCTAGGCATAAAATCATTATGACTACTCGTGACAGACAAAGTGAATATAACCTAATGTCAATAGAGATAACTTTGATGAGATACGTGAAATTATCAGAGGTTATGTTTAAAGGTCACAATTTTTCAAGAAACGTGAGATATTTCAAGTCTTTTCTTCGGAGATATAGAGATGCTCTTCTAAGATTCGGAATCCATAAGGTGCTGAGGAAATTTAGAGAAGTTACAAGATACAAAAATAAAAAGTAAACAAGATGAACAATTTTATTTTTAGGACAAATTGCACGTTTAATACTTAAACTATAAGTTTTTGTCTATTTTAGTACCTAAGTTTTTAATTTTTTCAAAAACATACCTAAAGTTTAGTTTTTGTTTCATTTTAATACCCATGTTCAAAATTTATCGTTTAGTTTTGAATTTCTTTTTGTAAGTTTAGGTATTAAACACGTTTATGTTTTTAACGACGGGTACTAAAATGAAATAAAAACTAAACGTTAGGTGTGATTTTCAAAAAATTGAAAGTTTAGGTTCTAAAACGTACAAAAACTGATAATTTAGGTACTAAATGCATAATTTACCCTTATGTTTTACATAATAACAAGTTATAAATACAATTATCTCCGTACATAGCAGGAAAAGAAATCTAGTACTGATATACTGATATACTGATATAAATAGAACTAAAGAACAATTACGATGTGTCAACGTAAACGTGTAAATTATCTCAAGTTTAATTTGATAACGACTTTTCAACTTCACAACAAGAAATTAATAAAGGACGTCTATTTTGGAGAGGTTAGAACTTAATAGCTTGAAGGAACTTAATGGTCATTCACATTAAAGAATTCGGCTGTTGGCAATTAGCCTAGGTTCAAAAGTTGGCAAGCCAACCTTGTAGTTGGCTGTTCGCTATCTTTGGCCTAATTTTTTATTGTCCATCGATTTCTGGAACATGCCGGTCAATGGTGTGCTTCGTGGTCTTATATCAATCAATATGAATAGCGAGATGGGTCAGGTACCTGACCTCAAAATAAGAAAAAAATGGAGAGTTTGCAATGTGATTTGAACTATTTATCCAGGGACATCCTAGCTGATATCATGGCTCGACTAGATGGTTCAACCCTGGCCTCAGCTGCATGCACATGTTCGGACCTCCATGGTATAGCTCGAGACCAAAGGTTATGGAAACTGTTGTGTCACTCCACATGGCCTTCTACTGCACTAAAGGGAGCCCAACACCTTATTTCCTCCCCACCAATGGATTGTTTTAGCAGATTCTATGCTGATTCTTACCCACTTATTTTCCATGGTGATCACAAAGATGCCGATTACTTCCCTACCCAACATCCCCACATTTCCCCGTCTGATTTTGCTTCCTTTATCGACGTTTACTACAGAGAAAAATGTGTTGTTTCCAGTGTTTTAGATGGCATACCAAGAACAGTCGATTCCGATCACGTTGACAACGAGACGGAGATTGGCCTTATGAGTTGTTTATTGAACCGTCCATTCAAAATGGTTCTCTCGGATGTTAGCCATGATGAGGACATCGAAAATGGTGATTTACTCCTTTCTGCCAACGGCAAATACGGCTTTTTATCGCTTGAGAAGACGGGAGAACCCGAAGACCATTGTGAGGAGTTAAAAGAGGGAATTCGATTAAGTTGGGTGCTGTTGGATAAGAAGAAAGGCAAGGCAGCGAATCTGTCGAGCTGGAAGCCATTGTTAGTGAAGAAAATATGGGCAACTGATGGTGAATATATTCTACATTTTGGGTGCATCATCCCAGTCCATGAGAATGTACTTCCTGACAATGTAGCTAAATGTCTAATAGTGGCAACATGCTACATAGAGGAAACACAAGGGTATTTGAGATGGAAAGAGATAAGCATGCGCATTGAGGACACTAATGGAACATATATAAATGGGGGCAAGAATCTGATAATTTTGAACCAGGCACTATATTGCTCAAGAACTAATAATCTCCATGCTGTTGAAAAGGGGTACCAACAATTTGAGGGGCTAAAGCAAGAGATGACGAGGAAAAAGAAGCTCCAAAAATCCATTGCTGATTGGGTTTGTATATCAATTGAAGTTGCAATCCTAATAACTTTAGGGTACCATATTTTACCCATTTAAGCCAATGGCAACTTAAGAGCATATAATAAGAGTAAACATTTGTGTTGAGAAAACAAATAAACACGGACATGTAATATTTAATATACGCATGAGTGGTAGGTCTTCCATCTGCCAGTTGCCTCCGTGGCAACTTCTCTGGTTTAGAGTGCTTGGTTTTGGTCTTGTTTTGTCACCACACATTGATTTTCTTTTGTTTCTTGTTTGGGATGTCTTTGTCGACTCTATGCTGTACAAGAGCTTCAGTTACTGAGAGGAAGGATGAGGAGTTGGTAATCCCTGCAGAAACTGTGGTGGGTGATGAATTTTGGGTGAGAGGTGTTCATTTTGAGGTCAATCTCGTCTTTGTGGAGGCTGCTCCAGGGTTTTAACCCGATCGGTGATTCAGGGCTCTATCTCATTCAGTATTCATATTCGAAAATCAAGAATTTTTTATTTTAATAATATATGATCATAATATTTTTTAATTATTGATAGTATAATATATATAATAGACATAATTGCTCGAAGCCAATATCTTTTTAAATTCGGGCAATACTTACTTTTACTATTGAAATAGTTTAATACAGCAAACGATATAAAAAGAATAAATATCATATTAATTTAAAACTTTTAGTATTGATAAACAAACATAAAAAAGGAAATAATATAATTTTACAAGTTATTGATCATATATAATAAATACTATATCGCAATGGTCTTTCAGATGGTCTTGGGTTCACGCCTCGACTTGATTTTGATTGATGGAGTGGCCATCGAACTTTTTTAACTAGGCATATTAGATGTCTAATTCTTACCCATTTACCGAATCCGTGTTTTACCAGAAATTTGTTGAATTTGTGAATCGATTACAAACGAGGAATGATGAGCACCCTCAAATTATCCTTTCAGTACCAACACAATTACCAATTGTCTTGATCGCAAAACTTGAAATTTCAGCAATTAAAAGGTCGATCTAGATTACTTACATTTGAAGAAGTTTGGAGATTAAAACTAAATTCCTTAAAAATAAAATTAGTATTTAAAAAAATAACACTAGAAAATAAAAAGATGATCATTGTATCGATTTAAAGAAATTAAAAATAGTGAATAAAAATAAAGATTAAATTGCATTAACATTAAAATTCAAAAGTTAAAATTACAAAAAGGGACCAAATTGAGCTATTTGCAAACTAGGAGGTTAAAGAAAAGCATTTACTCAGAACCCGTGAAACGCGTGGGTATTTAAGCCTTGTAATCACCATTTTTACCTTGACAGTAGCCATCTCCACGTTGTAGCTCCAGCATATTCCAGCAAGCCCAGAACAGCTGTCCCTCCACCACAACAGTGTTCCAGTAGCTTCCAACACCAGAACAACTGTCCCTCTACGTTTCAGCAACTTTCACGTCGTCGATAGCTCCCACGACCTCCCTTGCTCCACGTCCTGAATCAGCCAATCATCACAAAAAATAACATAATGTAAATCTTTATTTTTTTACATGTAAATTGTGGCTATAAAAACCCCATAACAGTATGTAAAGAGGGACGGAGGAATCAAGAACAATACAAAGAAAATCAGAAACAAAAATAAAGCAAAGGTTATTTTTACATTTGATCTTTATTTTTCAGTTTGGTATTTCATATTTTATTTTTTTCGAAATAAAAAAACCAGTAATAAAAAAAATAGAAATATAAAGGAACGATTTTACCTCGTTCATAGTTCTTCGTCGGAGTCTAGGTCGCCGGAGAAACGTCGGTTGAAGAATCGGAGAAAGGCTTGAGATTTTCAGTCTCGTTTTTGGTAGTTTAATCCCAAATCGGGATTTAAAAAATTTTTTAAGGATAAATTTTTAGGTTTGAGTTTTGTGTGGGATAATCGAAAGAGTGTTTGGTCACCGATTTACGGTGGTCGGTGTCGAGGCCTAGGCGTTGAATGGCTCTCGACCGAGCCAAGGAGAGGAGAGCTTTGGGTTACTGAGTTGAAAGAAGAAGAAGAGAAAAAGGAGAGTGAAAGGAGAAAAATGAAAAAGAAGGGAACACGTTACTGGAAAGAAAAAAAAGTGGGAGTTGTTATTATTTTATTTTTTGGGTAAACTACACGCAAGGTCACTGATTTTTAGGAGCTTCTTATTTTGTTCATTTATTTTAAGGGTTAATCATGAAATAATCCCTATAATTTAGAAGTCTATTTACAGTTTAGTCACCGATTTTTTTATTTATTTATTTTATTTTGATTTTTGCATGCTAATTTCTATTTCGTTTCATTTTAGTCACTGGAATTCATTTCTGAGCATATTAATTTTGCATTTAAATTTTAATTTATTATATTTTAGTCATTAAATTAATATATACTTAAGGTAAAATATCATGATTAATCATTTTAATTTTAAACAAATTTATTTTAATCCCGTGTTAATTATTAGGGTAAATTACACTTTTAATCACTTATATTTCATAAATATTTTGAATAAAAGCTTTTAATATATTAATCACTATTTATAAGTTCTATTAATTTTTATATTTTGCATTTTAATCCTATTATTTTAAATTTTATTTGTTTTAGACATTGTTTAGTTATATTTTAATTTTATATGGTTATTTTCAATATTATTATTATTATTATTATTATTCTTATTTAGTCATATAAATATATATATAAATAAATAATATTTATTTTATTTGTTTTCTATTAAATAAATATCCTATTTTATAAATTTAATTTTATATAAATTACTTTTAGGAATAATAATCATATTTTAAATATTTATTTATTTTTCAATATTAAGAAATGACAGTCTTAAAGCAACTGGATGTCTATTTTCTGATATTTTTAAATAAATAAATATTTTACTTTTATAAATTATATATTAATCTATTTTTTAATTATATTTTTTAATATTTATTTATTTTTTAATATTAAAAAAAGAGTTGTCTTAAAGCACCTAGAAGCCATTTTCTGATATTTCTAAATAAATAAATATCTTATTAATATATATAAATTAATATATTTTCTTAAAATTATAAATTTGAAATAAACAGGATTATAAATTAAATATATATTTGATTTTTTTAATTTCCAATAATAGAGACAATTTATAATTAATAAGCACCAATTTTGGGCGTTATGGGGGTGCTAATCCTTCCCCAAACGTAATCGACCACGAATCCCTTTTTATTATTAAAAAGAACGAATCTTTGGTTAAAAAAGCAGATTAGTTTATCTTTTAACTGATGTTTTCTTAAAAACTCTTTTAAAAGATAATTTTTAGGTATTCGACCTACCTGACCCAAAAGGCCGATGGCGACTCCCAAAACATTTTAAAAACTATTTATTCACATCACTTTTCCCGCCGAGTAAAAATTTCGTGCCCGGGCGAAAACCGATTACGACAGCTTGGCGACTCCGCTGGGGAATGACTGGTCATGCTTTGAAATTAATTATAAATTATCTCTATTAATTAGAAATTAAAAATTTATTTATTTAATTTTTAATTCTTTTTTTTCAAAATTTTTATTACTTATGATTTTCATAATATTTATTATATTTTTTATTTTTACTTTATTTTTAAATATTAAATTTTTCATTTAATTGTTTGTCAGAGGTTTGAACATTTCTCCTCACACACAACACTTGCATTGCATAACATAAAGCTTTCTAATCAAGCTTGTCCCTTTTTAAGTGGGAGTGAAAGCGACGTCTTCGTGAGAATTTATTCTCCGTGTCAGACCTAGCAAGTATCTTTCGGGGTTCATATGCTCTATGTCTTCGTGAGAATTTATTCTCCGTGTCAGGCATAAAGAAATGTGTCCCCTCGAATTGAACTCGATCCGCTTAAGTCTATGATGGACTAGGATTGAGGGTTTGACAGCCCAAGGGGGCATCAACAAGGACAGTTCGAGTACCTTTACTCCTAGAACTGAAGCCCTGCATATATTAAACCTAGAAACTCTCCCGATCTGAAACCATGCCGAAATTTTGTTAGTAGGTATGCACAAAGGAGAAATAAGTTCTAGCTTTTATTTCCTTTTCTTTTTTCTGAATAAATGTATGCAAACTAGAAATCATGCGGTTAAGCTAATTTTTGCAAACAAAGCATGGAACTAGAAAGCATGAGGTTAGGATTTATACCTTGATAAATAGATTTTTTTCCATTAATTGGTACTAACTATTCTATTTTTTCTTATTTCTTTTGCTTGCATTGTATGATCATGGCATAATCAAAAGGTGTTGACTTGAAAGACTGTTCATCAAATTGGAAAGAAATCGTAAATGGACAAAAAGTTTTATGATCAAACAAAATATGATGCGGCCAAGGAAAAACATCCTGAAGAAACTACGACGATCGAGGGAAGTTTTGTACATAGAGAACCAGTTATATTAATACCAAAAGGGTTACACAAAGATCCTACCAGATTGATACCAAAAGCAGTCTATGGTAAGAACAACTGTCAGGGCATTCAGAGTAGTGGAGGTTTTTATAAAGCTCAAGCATGTTATTTGAAGGACTTGAACGACCAAAACAAGAAATTGAGCACAGAAATGAAAACCATGCATGAAGATTTTCAGAAGATCAGTCAAGCCTTTCGAAATACTGGCATAGGAAACACCCCAGAAGGGTGGATCACAGGGGTCACCAAGCTGAAAAAGAACTGCAACATATATAAAGATCTTATTCAAGAACTTCTTGGACAGAAAGGTTCTCTTACAAGGGAAAATGAGCAACTCCGAGAAGTGACACAGAAGATGAAAGAGAATGTCATGGAAGAAGTTGCAGTCCAGACAAGCAATATGGTTCTTAAATGATAGATTTAACTGACTTTACAAGGAGATGAAGCAGACTGAAGACTAAACTTTTGAGCATGAATGGAAACTAACTGTGCTTTGGAGAAGTTAGAAGTGAAAGATATCCCTATATGTAAAGTTTTGTTTGATGTACCGAAACTTTTGTGTTCAATGAAATCTGTTCTTAGATGATCACTCTTGAGTAATACCTTTTCATACATACATTTGCATTTTGCATCCTTGCATTTTTCATTTTGCATTTATACTTTTATGTTTGCTTTTGTATTGCACAATTTACATTTTTATGGTTACATTCACATTTTTATATTTGCATTTTTACGTTCGTATTCATATATTCATTTTTTGCGTTTGCATCTTTACATATTTACATTTTGTTTAAAAATATTTTGCATACATTTAAACATGTGGAATAATTCGGGGAAGATTCCATGACAGACTTTTTGAAATCAAAGTGGAGCTAACTTGGTCT